CGGGCGGCGAGCTGGGGCAGCTGTGCCAGCAGGCGGCGGCCGGGGCGGGGCTCTCGGGCCTGCAGCGTCCCCTCTCCTACAAGGACTTGGAGGCGGCGCTCGCCAAGGTGGTCCCTAGGGCCTCGCCCAAAGACCTGGACTCGTTGGTGGAGTGGGACAAAATGTTCGGCTCCGGACACTGACGGCGCGCCGGGAGCCGCCCGCCCCTACCTCGCGCCCCTCCTGGGGAGGGGTGTCTTTGACCAAACCCACTGGCCCGGGGGGCACTGGCCGTGAATGTGGGGGGAGGGGCTGGGGACGGACGTTTTTCGTGGGAAGGAAAATGCTTCTGCTAGGCAGATGTCGCCATATGCGCTGTGTACTCAGGTTTTTCCTATTTATTGTGGACCGGGAGCTCGCATCTCTGCCCGGGCGGCTGACCCGGGGTGGGCTGGCCCGCGGGGCCCAAGGAACTCCAGCTTTCTCTCCACAATCCTTTTGTCTCCTCGCTCTCAGAACGGCTCTTCCTCCTCCATTTCCCCACCCCACCCCCTTCTCTGCATTCGGGTAATTTTCTCCCCTAGGCTTTGTCGCTGGCCAGACTGACCCGCACCCCTCCCCTTCTGGCCCTCTTTATCTTCAGCTCCCTCCCTCCCCCCCTTTCCATATATCACCCTCGAGCTTCTGTCTCCATCCTTTGCTCCCAGCCTCTGCCAGGGGCCGAGGACCAGGGTGGGGAATTCCCTGTCCCCCAGTGAAACCTTGGGTCTGGAGGGTGTGTGTCTGTGGGGTGGGAGGGAGGGTCAAGGAAGAAAAATAAGCACCCAAAGAAGGTTTCTTTTTGTTTGTTTTTGAGGGGGGAAGCCCCAGAAATGTAGCTTGTTTAATATTTTAGGCCTCTTATTTTTGTAAGATGTGTAGAACCGCGGTTTTTCTTTTTCTTTTGACAACTCAGGAAGAAACTGACCTCAGAAAGAATGTTAGACTTTGGCTGCTCTCCTGTGTGTCCCTCTTCCCCTCAGATGTCACCCCCACCCCCCAGGGGAGCAGATTCCCTTAGAAGACTCAGACAGAGACTTAGGGATGGCAGGGAGACTCAGGCCTGGCTTAAGCCCCTGCTTGCCCTGGGACAGAAGCAGAATGTATTCTGGGGCTTCCTCTCAGGTGCAAGGTTGCAGGCGGGGTTCTGGGGGGAGAGTGGGGCCGAGAGAGGGAGGTTCTAGTCCCCACTGGGTCCTACCGTTCTACTTCCTGTTTGTGTTTGCTGTGAAAGATGATCCAGAGTTGGTCTGCCCCAGCCTCTTCTGCTCAGGACGCCAGTAGGCTGCAGAAAGGTCATCATCTTGCCTGGCACCCCCGGGCAGAAGACTCCTGTAACTGGCCGAGCGGGCTCCCTCGGGACTGGAGACAGTCCTTCGGCCACCTGTCCCCGGGGCAGTCCTTCGGCCACCTGTCCCCGGGGCGCAATGCCGTGTGAGGCCTTGTCCTTCCCTGGCCGCCCGGCGAGCTTGCCGCTGGGAGGGGGCTGGGCGTCCATTCCTCAGGTCTTGCACCTGGAGTCCGGGGCTGCACCATGGTGGCGTGGGTGGGGTGAGCGGGCTCTTTTTCCTCAACTGGCGGTTCATTTTGGGTTCCATCCAAACTCGCCACTGGAAAGCAGCCCAGGCCCAGGCCCGAGGTTCTGAGAACCACATTCCTCTTCTTACCACCCCCCAGATGGGGCCTCTGCGGTTTGCCCATTTCACAACTCTGGTCTAAGGTGGGGGTGAGACACCCTCCCCGACCTTTTCATCTCTCACCCCAGCCTCCTTCCTGTTCCCCACTAGTCCACACAGCTCCTACAGTCTCTGCCCACCTCCTGTTCCCAGCTGGAAGGGTGCCCGTGGGGGACATTTTCAGGTGCCAAGGTGCTGAGGGGCCGCGCTGGCCCAGGGGCGCTGCCAGGAAAGCTGCTCTGTCCCTCTCCCCCACCTTTCCCCTCCTTGGAGTTGGCTGAGTGCGGGACTCTGGCGTCTGAGAAGCGAGGGGCCTCAGGGCTGGGCTATGAGGGCCCAGGAGCAGGGGGAGGAAGTTCTCTCAGGTGTGTGTAATGTATATGGGGGTGGGGGGTTAAGGGTTTCAGGGAGAAAGAAACTCACTGGCAGAGACCAGGGCCCCCACTGCCCTCTCTACTGGCCTTGGGGGACTTTGCACAAGGGACAGCCCCAAGCTACTGGCACCTACCTCATGGACATGGTGGGGTGGGGGCAGTCCAGCTCTGGCAGTGGTGGGGGGGCATACCAAAGAATCCGGGGGTGGGGCTGGGGGGGGGCAGACTCATCAGGCCGGCCCTCTCCTTCCTCTCCCAGATCGGGGTTGGGTCATCTCCTCCAGCTGTAACCATTTCTACCTCATTTTGCTGCGTGTTGTACATGGGCGTATTTATCTCCTGTCTGATGATGCTCTCAGTTGTGGTCTTTCTACCTCAGAAGAGACTGTATTTTAAAAGAAAGTATTACACAGTATTAAAGTGATGATATGTGGTGTCCAGAGGATTTCTTGGGGGAGCAGGCTGGGGGGGGGCGGACCTTGGAGGAGTGCCTGGGCACCCAGCCACTGCCGGCCGTGCTGGCGGGAGGAGGGGGGGGTTCCTGTTCCTTTGGCGCAAGGTTTGCACGGGACCAGGAGCTGGGCACTGAGGCTGCGGGCGAGAAGCCCTCGGACGCGCATCTGCAATCCTGAGTTCTCAGGCTCAGAGTTGCGGGTGACTCATTGGATCTCCAGAGCCCTGGGCGCGGGAACGAATGAAGGGACGAGTGAGTGAGCAAAGGCATGCATGGCGGGAGGGGCCGAGAGGAGGGCTCACCTGGTGCCCAGTCAGAGGCAGGAGTCTGCGTCTCCCCTTCTGTGGTGAAGTGGGCTGATGGCAGGGCGTGGAGACAGCTCTTCAGTCTTCAGGGTCATCGGGTACCCTAGTCCGCCACCGCCTCTCAACCCCCAAACTCTGGCAGCTCATAAACCGAGGCTGAACAAACTATAAGGAATGGCTTGCGGAAAAGGCCGTGTGCGGATGCCTAGAAGTTTGGGGCTACAACTTTCTGAGGTCCTTGGATGCTGTAAGATTACCGAAAATATACTGGAATGCAAGGGAACAGGTACTCGGGCTTCCAGGAGGTAAAGCCAGTCCCAGGGGACACGCCACCAAGCGGCTTCCCCTGGGAGAGACGCCTGTGGGCTGCCTGGAGGTGAGGCGCCAGGGCGCTGCTGCCCGAGTTCAGTGGCCTCAGCCGTCTAGGCCCTTGCAGACCCAGAGGCCCCGACCCCGCCTGCCCACGACACACCTCCTGGATGCAGACGAGTGCACAGCATGAGCGTACAGAAGCGGGCAAGCACAGCCCCGGCCCTGACAAACCTCCGACACTGCAGGCAAAGTGCAAAATGGATCATTTGAAAATGCGTAAAAATGGATAAAAAGCTGCTTAAGGAGGGACCACAGAAAACACTTTATATTCTCACATTTTACATCATACTTGGCACATAGAAGACAAAGAAGATAAAGGCTGCGTGAGTCTTCAAGCTAAGTCCTGGATAGTTCTGACGGAGGGTGCACAGGTTCTCAAGAACTTGCTCCCGGTGGTGGTGGGGACGTGTGTGGCGTCACAGACTCCCGGGTACAGCGCCACAGAGCTGACAAGACTATGTAGGCTGGGAAGGAACCTGTCCCGAGAGAATAAAGCGAGGGCAGAAGTGGACGGAAGCTCACTGGTGTGGCAGAGCCACTAGAGCCTTCCTCGTTCTCTGAGGGGCTCATGAAGCCTGGGTGACGTTGGCGAGGGGTTGTGGCTTCTAGTTAAGAAACAGGTCTTTACTGAACACTTCCTGTGTGCTGCTTGCTGGGGAGGCCAGACAGACCTTAGCCTCACAGGGGGCCGGACAGACCTTAGCCTCACGGGGGGCCGGACAGACCTTAGCCTCACGGGGGGCCAGGCAGACCTTAGCCTCACGGGGGGCCAGGCAGACCTTAGCCTCACGGGGGGCCGGACAGACCTTAGCCTCACGGGGGGCCAGGCAGACCTTAGCCTCACGGGGGGCTGGACAGACCTTAGCCTCACGGGGGGCTGGACAGACCTTAGCCTCACGGGGGGCCGGGAAGACCTTAGACTCAAGTGGGGCCGGACAGACGTTAGCCTCATGTGGAGGTGGGACAGACCTTAGCCTCATGGGGGTTGGGGGTGGGGGAGACCTTAGCCTCATGTGGAGGCGGGACAGACCTTAGCCTCACAGGGGGCCGGGCAGACCTTAGGCTCAAGTGGGGCCAGACAGACGTTAGCCTCATGTGGGGGCTGGACAGATCTTAGGCTCAAGTGGGGCCAGACAGACCTTAGCCTCACGGGAGACTGGACAGACCTTAGCCT